GCGAGGCAGTCTTTCTAAGAATATGTGCTAAAAGTCCCACCCACCCTGTCAAGTAGAGCTAGAGGATTGGGAGACAGATTCCATAGTAAAAACCTTGCTCATCTGAGGGAGAGAGTTATTGTGCAATTCCTCTCTCTCTCTCTCTCTCTCATTACCAGCCGCTAGGGATATACGGAGGAAGGATGTCGTGGTCCTCATGATCTGCTTATGAGCTTATGAGTCCTATGAATCCACCCTCGTACAGTTTGTTATGCAGCACAACTCTATAGCATTTTGGCCTCTTGCATGACAAATCAAATTCAACTGTCATACTGAAACTAAAGAAGCTTAATAATGATTTTGCACGATGTCTGAATTGACAAACCAAGGTTAGTAAACAGCTAGCAAACCAGAACCACAAAGCATGCTTAGTGCTAATTATGGTTTGGCATGATGTCTGAATCAACAGGCCAGCAGTAAACAGCCATTTCTTTACTGCCAGAACCTCCGGCACCAGAGATATTTGAATGCTAATATGTATACATATACATATGTTTAAAATAGGGTTGCCAGTCCCCCAGTTGGGGTGGGGGATCCCCTGACCCGTTCCCCTTTCTTACTGCCACTGAGTGACAGTGGGAGAAAAATAAGAAAATGCCTCTTAGGCTCTTAGGAAACCCAGAAGTAACATTATACCTCTCTAGGAATCGCCAATCCAGTGTTTCTGGCAACTCCTAGAGAGGCATGATATCTGACGCGGCCCCTGGTCTCCCGTGGATTGTTATGCCGGGCCTGGGATCCCCAATTTAAAAAGAACTGATACTGCTGAGCAGTGTTCCCTCTAAGCTGAGTTAATGTGAGCTAGCTCACAGTTTTTTAGCCTCCGGCTCACACATTTTTGTCTTAGCTCAGGGAGGATGGCTCCAGAGCAATGTAATTTATGCAGTAGCCAAATCGCTCGCTCACAACTTTAATGTCAGTAGCTCACAGATTAGAATTATTGCTCACAGGACTCCACAGCTCAGAGGGAACATTGCTGCTGAGCAGATGGAAAATGAAAGTGGACAGAGCAAATCTAAAAACATGACTTTCATTGTACACTTGGATTCATGAGTTTCAGTTGATTCTAAACTATAGTTAGCACAGGCCATCGTTTGGCTTCAGGCCTGAAACTGCCTGAAAGGGAGGTCCTTGTTTTATGACAGTTGTACGGGCTGGATGAAAACAAAAACTGGCCACGAAGGTGTAAGCTGTTCAAGTTGTAGGTTAAACAAGACAGAAAGAAATGGAGGCAGGGCCCATTTCTGGCAGCCATAATAAAATCCTGAAGGATTTTAGTCATCTACCCAAGCTTCATTTTATTTTTTTGTTTCTTGAATTTACCATTATCAAACCCTAGTCTAAAATAGTTATGGCAGGAAGAGTGTTGCATGTGACCAACTACTTGTCCATTTGTTTCAGCCTGATCTCATCCAGATGATGCAAAAATGATGCAAAAATATTTGGCTGTTAATTTGTCAGTACTTGGGTGGGGTGGAATGGTGGTTACCTCAAAGCACAGACTTCAGTTTTTGCCTCAGAAGCTTGACAACTCTGGTTGGTTTGCCCATTATTTGGTAAATAGGATAGGAAACTACCACCAAAGGATTTGTAATTCTTCTTGCAGCCTGCAGCTGGAGTTGGGCAGTGCATCCCAGATTCCAGAGCCAGTTTGGTGTAGTGGTTAGGAGAGTGGACTCTAATCTGGGAGAACCGGGTTTGATTCTTCACTCCACCACATGCAGCTGCTGGATGGCCTTGGGCAAGCCATAGTTCTTGAAAGAGCTCTCTCAGCCCCACCTACCTCACAGGGTGTCTGTTGTGGGGAGGGGGAGGGAAAGGAGTTTGTAAGCTGCTCTGAGACTCCAAGTGAAGGGTGGGGTATAAATCCAATCTCTTCTTTTCTTCTTCAAGGGAGCAAGCTGCTCATTCCCAAGCACTGATGGAGGCAGTAATCCTGTTGGTGTTGCTTGCTGTGGTTGAGCATCCCTGCTCTTACTGCATGCCCTCCAGGGCAGGGGCTCTTAAGTCTCACCCTCCCTGAGACCCTTTAAACCATTTCCCCCCACAGGGATGAAGAACAGGCAGAGCTGTCTCAGGAGAGCCATTGCCCCCAGTTCCCAGGCCCAAGTGGCAGTTGCACATGTGGCCCCAAAGCCATTATCTAAGTAAATAAACCTCATTCCGAACTAGGAGAGCAGTTTGGTAGTGACAAAAAGAGGCCAAATTCCCCAGAAATGCAGGCAGACCTCTTGGATTGGGCAGACTGCAACAGTATAGCAAATATAGATTGTTTGTTTGTTTAGGACTTGTATTTTCATCCCACTTCTCAGCCAAAATTGACTCCCAAAGCAGACCACGAGAATTAAAAACACAAAAAACAGAAATGACAATTAAAATTCAACACGAATGTTCCATGGGAAGGGAATTCTCCACTGAGCTGGATCCAGGCATGTTGGCGGAGTGCCTGGCTGCTTCTTCCACTCCCTCCGATGGCCCCACGGATACATAGCTTTGCAGAGCATACTGGGTTGCTGTTCGTTTTTTGGCTTTGGAGACTAGAGAGTTGAACTAGGACGTGCCTTAGTCAAAGTCACAGTGAATGACGTGCATAGATGCCCCCCGCCCCGCCCCCGGGGCTATTGTTGTGAATGGGGTGAGCGGGTGAATCTCTGACAGCTTGAAGTGTTTCTTCTTGATGAGCAAAGCTGTTCAGCATCTGGACTTTACCAGATATGGAAATTTTTCTTATGACTTCCAGCTGAGCAAAAACGGAAGGATCTTTACTAAATGAATGCTGCTAACAGACTACTACTGTCTCCTGCTTGCTTCCTACTCCCTTAACACGAAAGCAGGTGCATCTGGAAGATGAATTTATTTGAAAAAGGATGAACGATTGACTGAAAAAAACTAAGTGAAGAATAAAATGTAGTACAAATACCTTTTGCCTTCTACACCTGTTTTTAATATTTGGTGGCTATACTATTTGGCCCCATTCAGAATTGAGAAAGTGAATTAGCAAAGTTGCTTTGTCTCTTGACACCTCCCTCCCCTACAACTCTGCACAGGCAAGCTCTTTAACCCTCTCCTGGTCAGCAGTCAAAGCCTATGAAAGATCCCCCCTTTCTGCTTTCTAAGAGCCCCCCCCCCCAATAATGAACATCACTGGCTGTCTAGACTCTTCCAGGCTTAGTTAAGGGATTTCTCTCTAAAGCCCCACCCGGTCCAGCACCAGGACATTGTAAGGACTGACACCCTGCTGTCACAGGTGTCTGCCCAAGCTTTATAATCCTCATCTTTACTCAGAGGCAAGGTGGGTGGCCATGACATGACAGAGACTTTTGGGTAGTGGAAACACCTCTCCCTGACCCCTTGCCCAGCTGATGCCAAAACTGTCTACTTTTTGGTGCCAGACCAAAACATTATTTTCCTAGCTCTTTTAAAGGTAAAGTAAAAGGTAACGGTTTCCCTTGCTTGAAAGCGAATCCAACCCTAGGGGTGATGCTCATCTCTGTTTCCAACCCGAAGAGCCAGCGCTGTCCAAAGACTTCTCTGTGGTCATGTGGCCAGCATGACTAAATGCTGAGGTGCACAGAACGCTGTTACCTTCCCACCAAAGCGGTACCTATTTATCTACTTGGACTTTCTTGCTTTTGAACTGCTAGGTTGGCAGGACCAGGGTTGGAGGTGGGCGCTCACTCCGTCACGCAGCACTAGTTCTTTTAAGTGTGTGCTTATTCCCACTTGGTGTTTTTTAAGTTATTTTGTTATTTCAGGAGGGAGGTAAAAATGTATCTGTCATTTTCTGCTGAATACTCTCTTTAACTGCCATTATTAGTTGCCTGTTATGCCCACAGTTTTAATTATCCTGTGTAGTGTATTATTATTGTTGGAAATATGTGTGTTGCAAGGTCTAAAATTTAGTCAATATATCAATCAATCAATAGACCTTTAATGGCATATGCAACATTAAAATCAGAGACAGTAAATAACACAATCAGCTAAAAGTCTGAGATAATTATAAAATCATAAAACGGAGTTTCCCACGTTTTTCACTCTTATCACATCAACTAAAAAATTGGCCAGTAAAATTTAGTCATTATAGGGTTAATGTGTGTTTACCTTGTGTGCCATTGTTTAGACTGACCTGGAAGAGAATCTGGCAGAAAGCCAATGAGAAGAAAGCTGGGAAAGTGGAGCCTATTTACTAACAATCATTGGTTAATGCATTCAGGTGATTTCCTTATAGGGATCAAGAAGAAGAAGAATCTCTGTTGTAGACCATGTGGTCAAAGTGTAAAGATGCAGTCTTAGGTGTCTTTGTTGTTTTGTAAATTTCCTGTGAACCCTTCCCTTAGAAAGAATGATTTTTACATAGAAGAAAATGCCTCCTCTCCAGTGAAGCAAAGATCGATTGCAATCTCTGAATATTTAACTATTTTGCCAATTTTTCCAACAGTTAGGAGTGCAGACTCTAATCTGGGAGAACTGAGTTTGATTCCCCACTTCTCCACATGCAGCTGCTGGTGTGACCTTGGGTCAGTCACAAGTTCTCTCAGAGCTGTTCTCTCACAAGCAGTTCTCTCAGAGCTCCCTCAGCCCCATCTACCTCACAGAGTGTCTGTTGTGGGGAGGGGAAGGGAAAGGAGGTTGTAAACCGCTCTGAGACTCCTTCGGGTAGTGAAGGGTGGGGTAGAAATGCTAACTCCTCCTCCTCCTCTTCTTCTTCATCATCATCATCATCACATGGGGGTATATTATTTGGTTTTCACAAATGCTGATATGCATAATAAAGATTACTTCCTTGCTTGAACCAAGCCGTATACCCACCAGCGACTGACTCCTACATTGAGCTTCAGAAAATGAGAGGAAGTCCAACCCACTAAAGCACAGTGTTCCATAGGGAAGTTGCATATAATACATGTTCTCTTTTTTTTGGTTTACAGTTCCAAAAATCTGTTTTCTTGCTTTCGTTCTTCCAGGCAATTTGGAGCGGTTGGGTCACGCCTGACTGGGGCAGGATGGGGTGGCTGCACTGTGTCAATGGTTCCTGCCGACAAGCTGGAGAGGTTCCTAGCAAATGTAAAAGAGGCTTACTACAAGAACAGTGACCAAAGGTTAAAACTGGATGAAAACAGCCTGTTTGCTACCAACCCAGGTGGTGGAGCCATGGTTTTCCTTGAGGCCTGAAGGATGCCAAATTTTTTAAAAGGAACTGGTTAGGGCACTGGGAAATTGGCAGGACTTCCTCTGTCACAATAAACAAACACCTTTGCTGGGTTTTATTTTAATAAGGAATAGCCATGATCTGGATGCGTTTTTAAAGTAAAATATAGATCTATTAATTTTCATAATGTATTTTTTCTCTGCTAAAAATGTGCTTCCAACAAAGATCATCCAAAAAGCTGATTTCTGTCTGGACTTTACAATATAGAAGTTGATTTGCCAAAAGCCTATTCATTAAACAAAATGAAATTAACCAGATTGGGAATGAAAAGCTGCTCCGTCTCATACTTTATTGACCTGAAAGAGAAGTCATGTTGAATCCCAAGTATGTTGCTGAGCTTCATTCAGTGGAAGGAGCAATTCAGCCAGTTTCTGAAATCTTAGTATTGGGGTTTTTTCACCATTGAATTCGCAGCACTGGATGTAGTCTGGCCTGGTGCTGGGTTCTCCTGTTGAAGCAAAACATCAAACAGTTGCAAGTCACTATATTCTTCTAATTCAGGTAAGCATCCAGGAAAACCTCCTACCACCTTCCATGAGTCACAGTGAGGTATTGTAAGGACTGCCGGAGGAAGGGGTTCTGGAAGAAGGTGAGGTTGATCACCTGAGGCTGGCAGATGGTCCATAAATGGGCCCGCTGTGATGATTTTGGGACGAGAACAAGTACTAGCCCAAGGAAGCACCGTGGCAGCAGGATTCCAGACATTAACGCTAGTGGGAAGTGCTAAATGAAGGATGCCACGCAAGGTTGCTGGGCCGAGAAACCAGGTCAGGGCCCGTGCAGATTCTGTGGACAATGCTGATCATTTTAAAATAGAGAAAAGTGAGCATTACGAGGTTGGTTTTTGCCCTTCCCATTCCACAGCAACCCTGCGTAGGGCCTAATGAGGTTTCCAAGGGAGGGAGCAATATCCTTCCTAAAGGAGGCAGAAGCCGTTGAGCAGGCCTTGGCGGTATTGGTTTGGCCCCTTTCACCTGTCTTCTCAGCTCTAGAAGCTGAAGGTGGACATCTCACCTAAGTGTCCAGCATAGGCATGCGAGGCAAAGGGCAACATGCTCTTCTGGCCCATTTAAAATGAACAAAAGGGGACAAGCTCCCCGCTCCTCCTCTGGGCTGCAAAACATACTTAAAAGACGGATATAAAAGGTGACAAACCAGTTTCTGGATTAAGTCCTGCGTTCTTAACCTTAATTCGTTAGGATTCTTGCTGAGTGTCACCAAAAGCCTAGAAACAAAAGACAATTAGAAATTAGTGATCTCTCTCCTATAGACCTCTTTACTCACTGCTGCCCTTTTGTAGACTTGCCACTTGTGGTTCCTCCTAATTTAGCCTAGTAGTGCAAGTGACAATTAATTGAGTTGTCTGGAATTTCAAGTAGGCAGGGCAAGGCCAACGCAACACAAAGCTTTCCCTCAAGAGTTCCTTCTTGTTGCAGGGGTGAGTTATGTCCCAGAGATATGCCTGTCTTTTCAATCACAACGTAACCCTTCTAAAAACATTTAAATCAAGCCAAGAGAATAGTTGCATTTCAATATGCCAATAAAACCTGTATCTTTCACCATCTGGAGTTCAGGATTCACTTTGGCCTGCAAATGTGTTCTGAATTCCATTTCTCCTACGTTGGACTTTTGGTCTGCATTATTACTATTGTTAATGAACATATGAAAACTTTTGCCACCAGGTACTCAAAAAGAATCCTTTTACTTCAGCACAAAAGGCGGACATTCTGTTAGTTATATTAGTCCTCCTTAAGTCAAGGAAGTCCTGCCATCCTAGCAGTTCGAAAGCAAGAAATTGCAAGTAGATAAATAGGTACCGCTTCGGTGGGAAGGTAACAGCGTTCCGTGTGCCTTGGTGTTTAGTCATGCCGGCCACATGACCACGGAAACGTCTTCGGACAGCGCTGGCTCTTCGGCTTTGAAACGGAGATGAGCACCGCAACCCTAGAGTCGGACTTGACTGGCTTTCGAGCAAGGGAAACCTTTACCTAAGTCAAGGAAGAGCAATTTGAGGCTCCCCATTGTTAGAGGGAACCAACCAAGACTGCTTGGCAACCCAGCTGTTTTAGCACCTTCATGTGGGCCCAAGGGTTGAGGCACCAGGGCAGCAAAGCAGAATTTTGCTCTTTGCTATTAGTCAGCAGTTGTGACTAAACGGAAGAAGTTTTATTTATTTTATTTATTTATTTATTTTGATTTATATCCCGCCTTGCCTGACAAGCAGGCTCAAGGTGGCGTACAATGAGTTAAAATTACAATAAAACACAGATAAAATTAAACAATAATGTATAAAGTGCAGATTAAGTACAATAGCAAAGAGCGGATGGCAATCGTTGTAAGATGGTCCAGTATGACTAGACCAGTATCCCAGTAGAGTGCCAGTAACACGCGGGCCGTAATAGATAATTCCAGTAGCTCATTCATCAGTGGTGGCTCCTAATCGAAAGCCTGCTGGAAGAGCTACAGGCCCTGCGGAACTGTAAAATGTCCTGCAGGGCCTGATGTCCTCTGGGAGCTCATTCCACCCGTGTGGAGCTGCCACTGAGAAGGCCCTAGATCTGGTGGTGGCCAATCTGGCATCTTTCGGACCAGGGAGAGTCGGGCAGTTTTGGGTCCCCAACCTCAGTGCTCTCTGGAGTTGTGTTGAGTGCCAGGACCATTAGTAAACCAAGGGGCCGTCCAGCCACTTCAGCTGCCCATCTGTGGAGTGGTCAGAGTACCCTCAGATTCTGGCTTGGAGTCCCACATAGAAAAAAGGGGGGGAGGGGGAAATTCAGTGTAGAGTTGATGTCTTGCTTAGGAACTGTTTGCACCTCCTGTAGATAGGCTATCCTTATAACAAGCAAAGAAAAACAGCCTATTCCCCCGGCTTTTTCCTTAGGGAAGTTTCCAATGCTCTTCCAAAGTAGAATCAAAGAACTGGATCTAGTGATCTGTTAGCCACAGGCACTGACAGTCAGATCTTTCACATGGTCCTCTCCCCACCCCCAAGCAATGCTCTGCACCCCTAGGGAAGTTGCTTCCCAGGGTCACAGGACCCACTTGGACTAATAGTTGTGGAGGTTGGGGGGGCTACAGTTGGAGGGGCAAGGGTGTGAGGAGCCCCTCTTCCAGTCAAGAACCCCTTGGTTAGTGGGGTCCCCCTCTTAGTGTTTTAATAGACGCCCCCTTTTACAGGTCAAGTGCCAGGGGGATCTGAAACTTGGGGAGTCTCATAAAGGCACCTGGCTACAGCCATTACACTGGAAAATCCAGTGTACTGGATTGTGCTGGCATTACAAGCTGATTAAATGCAATCTCCCCCAGTTCAGGGTTCTCGATAACAATAAGGCTTCTCAATGAGATTTCACTTCATTCTCAATTTAAAAAAAAGACTTTTAAACACGGGAATATTCTGGCATAGCCCAGAGGTGTCTACCCAGCCCAAGGAAGTTGTTATATTAACCAATACCTGGTTCCTCTTTTTCCTTTTTTACTCAATAAAGAAGGGCACTCAGATCATTAATGTATGCTCCATCCTGTTTCAGTAGCTATCTTGACTCACCAAAACTTTTGTGTCAATGCAGATCTGGCTCACTTCAACCTAATTAAAGTATGTTAATCATGTTGCCTCACCCAGGCTCTTTGTGCCCATGCAGATTTGGCTCACAATAGCTTAATCAAGGTATTTCCCCCACTTTTCCCTGCCAAATTTAACAGCAGTTAACTTTGAACGAGCCAGTGAGATTCAAACCTTTTATTTTGACCCAATTCAAAGCCAGAATGGCCCAAATCCCACGTACTCTGGGGATCTTCTGTCCACAAAAAAAGGGACTGCATGCCATAGCAGATGTTCCTCAGATCCCTGGTCTAGATCTCTGTTGGTCAGAACGCTGGTTTTCTGCTGAGAATGCCTGCTGCACTTCGCAGACTTCTTCTCCTCACTTAGTTGGCTCCTCACTCTGCTCCTTGGACCTCAGCTGCATTTGTCCCTGGACCTCTCCAGACCCCAAGCCCAGGATCTCAGGTCGTATGTCCCTTCCCTAAAACGTCCCAATTTTCTCCCTCCTGCCTTTTATAAGTGTGCCCTCTTGTTTGTGTGTGTGTGTGTGTGTGTGGTTACTTATGGGATTAGTTCTCAGGTGCCTCATGTAGGTTCTTTACACTCTTTTTTATTTTTTATATAATAAAGCAATTTTTGTGTGTTTACAATGACTCTCACTCTCTTCATAATTTTATTTTGGGGTATCTCCACTGAGATTCCCTGGTATAAACAGACTTACAAGGTCCTGCATTATTCCATGCTGGAACCTTTTAAAGCTAATTTCCCCCTCCTTTGGGTCCAGTTTGGGTAAGAAGAGGATGAAGTTGTCCTTCTATCCTCTTCCATCATGGCTATTAGTCCACACAGGTCACATGACCTCGGGGACTGGCTTTGCTGGGGTTGGACAGGACTGCTGGGAGAAAGGCCTGTGGTCCTGGTACCCTCAGACTGCTGGGTCCAACCCAAGGTTTTCTTCTTTGGTCCTTGGTGCTGAGGCTGTGAAAGGCACAACAGAACCCAGCTCAGTTACTACAGCATCAGACAGACTTCCTTCAATGCCGTTTTCCACATGAAAAATTGATTCACCAGTTTCTACCTGATACACGGCTTTATTCCTCAGCTGGTTTCAAAATTGTGCGTAAAAAGAGTTGGGGGGGGGGAGAAAACAATAGTCTCTACCAGCGTTCCCTCTAAGCTGAGTTAGTGTGAGCTAGCTCACAGTTTTTTAGCCTCCAGCTCACAGATTTTTGTCTTAGCTCAGAAAGGATGGCTCCAGAGCAAACTAATTTATGCAGTAGCCAAATTGCTCGCTCACAACTTTAACGTCAGTAGCTCGCAAAGTAGAATTTTTGCTCACAAGACTCCAAGGCTTAGAGGGAACATTGGTCTCTACTAGCCACAGACAAATAATTTGTTCCTGGCAGTTACTAATATTCCTAAGGATGAGCTCTTTGTTAAAGATTAAAATAGATAAAAAGCAAACCTTTGGAATTTCCGGTTCACATTTTCTCGCTGCTCTTCTATCTCTGTTAGTTCTTCAATGCATCTGTGCTCGAAGCTAAAAAGTGAAACCATATATTAAGCATACTTGAAATATTATCCAGAAGAATGCATTTTTTTTGGGGGGGGGGAATTATAAGATGTTAATCACACACACTCCAGCTATTTAATACATTAGAAAATACAGAGTT